AGACAAGAATCTCACAGGCTTTCCTGCCTGGGCTAGTTTTGAACTGTGATCCTAAGATCTCAGTCTCCTGAGTAGCTAGGATTACAGGTAAGAGCCACTGGCATCCTGCTTACCTGCCACCATTTCTGTCCAGCACCAGCCTAATCTCCTTGAGAGTTTCCTGTTCATTTGCATGTGCCTGCCATCTGGGAACTTCCCAAGCCCCCAGTCACATGCCCAGCGCACACATTCCCTTAGCCATCCCAGAGCTTGCTGGGATATCATTCTCACTTCACAGTAAGGAAAGTGAAAAGTAAAGTCTAAAGTTAAAGGGTTTAAAAAAAAAGTTAAAGCCTAAGAGTTACAAAATTGGGAGATCCACGGCTCTAACCCATTCTCCTGACTTTAGACTGTCCTTTCCCTCACACCTGTAATACTCTCCAATATCCAGTTAATCTGGTTGTATCATCTAGTTTCTCGTCTCAGTTGGACTGTTTAGTAATAGGCAAGGCATCTCCTCTAGCCAGGCCTCTGGATCACCTGACAATGGTAACGTTCTCCGAAGGGGCTTTCTCTGCAGCAAAACAATCTTTAGATGTTATAAAAATGAAGCTATGCATGATAACTAAAAGGTTTGTCTTTTTTTTTCCTTATGAAAAGCCATGGGAAAATAGCCTTGGCAAGTGAATACAGGCTCATGGGAGATGAAATACTTTTAAAGTTTCTAATGTAGCAGTAAGTTCAAAGTCTTGCAATCTTCAATGTTCATGAATCAAAGAGGGAAGACTGATGCTGAGCCCGGGGTGGCAGGCTGGCGGGTCACCATGTGCAGGTTGTAACTGGTGAAGAGTGAATGGAGCTTTGTGCTGTTTGGCAAACAGATATGTGGGATCCAGCTGGGCTGCTCTCATTCTTCTAAGCAGATGTTCTTAATGGAATGATCACAACCACATCACAGTAACTATTTTGCCAAACACCAGTGGAGTCTGACACTCCCAAGATGAGAGGAATGAGGAATAAGACCTGGCAAATGGCTCCTGGGTGATTCTGGCTATACCGCCCTCTCCTGGCTGGCGTGAAAACTTCAGCTTGCAAGTGAATATCTTCTCAGATTCAGAGCTAATTTTGTTCACTTTTCCTTTGGGGCCTCAAAGCAAATCATAACTTCGTTTTTTCCCTATCTGTGAGTGGAAACCACTGTGATAATATAGGAGCTAAAGTTTCAGGCTCATTTTTGTACAATGCTGTTCTGAGCAACTGGAATTCAAAGTAGTCTGATCCTATCTACCAGGTATTGTTATTACCTGGGTGAATGAAAGGCGGGGTCACAGAATCAGAGGGTGAGAGCCAGGGTCATGGTTTTTGGATCATCTTGGTCCTTCCTGGGGCTTGAACTCAGGCCTGGGCTCTGTTCCAGCACTTTTTTTTTTAAAGTAGTTTATTGGAGATCATCTTTTGTACTTTCCTGCCTAGGCTGGCTTTGAGCCATGATCCTCAAATCTCAGCTTCCCAAGTAGCTAGGATTATAGGCGTGAACCACCAGTGCCCAGTCACCTTCCCTTTTGATGCACTGGAGATCTCCAGTTCAAAGATACCAGAATAGCGTTCTCCCAAACACCACATGTACCACACATGTGCCAGTTTCTGACCTTGCAAGAATGTGGTTTCAAGAACTATGTTAACATAGCCCCTAAAGCAACAGTTGGGGTAAGCCCCAGATAGAATGAAGGTTCACAGTCTCTCACTGTACCACTGTCTCCCTAAAGAAAATGAATTTAGAATGAAATCACATTAATTTATGGCAGTCTGTGAAATCTATTAAACCTTTCCTTAACAATTAACCACTGCTGAAAAAGAAAAAGATGAGTCCTTGCAATGGCCAGTGCTTTTCTACCCACACTGAACACTGGAGGCCTGAGGCTGGTTCCACACAAGCTACTACAGTTCTAGTTATAAGGCTGGCGCCCTAACACAACCAAAATGAGTATCCCTGATCAGTTTCCAGCACAGAAGAGCAAAATAGGAGTGAGCCGCAGTGTAGTTACATCCTAAAGCATCCTGTACCTCACTGGACAGATAACTGTGCCCACAGCAGATGGGCCATCCTGCTACTATGCCACCTGGCATGTCTTTCCTTATTGCCCTGGTGCCCCTCTTTCCTCTCTCTCTCGGCTTTTTTCTTTTTGCTTATGTGGTGCTGAGGAATCGAACCCAGGGCCTCATACATGCAAGGCAAGTGCTCTATCACTGAGCCACCTTCCAAGACCCACGAGACTCTTATCTCCAATAAACCACCGGAAAACCAGAAGTGGCCCTGTGGCTCAAGTGGTAGAGCGCTAGCCTTGAGCTGAAGAGTTGAGGGACAGCTCCCAGGCCCCACAACCGCCCCCCCCCCAAAAAAAGAGTCTTGTGGACTTTCCTGCCCAGGCTGGCTTTGAACTGCGATCCTCAGATCTCAGCCTCCTGAGTAGCTAGGATTACAGGCGTGAGCCACCAGCGCCTGGCTGCCCCCTTTTCTTGAGAGCATGTTTGGAGGTTCTGGCAGGGGAGTGTAGTTACTTGTATACCCTTGGCCAAAGGTTGGTTCTCCTCTATCAGGGATGGTTGTCCTCTTTGAACAAGAATGCTGTGTTGGGAGGGACACACATGGAGTCGAGAAGGTGGAAGTGGACATCTGCCTAGCCAGCCAGATCAGCCGAATCAACCCTGGTGATCAATGGGGTTGCAGCCAGATTGTCCCTACATCCTGCCCCGCCTTTCTTGAAGGCATAACCAAAGACAAGACACCAAATACCACTGCCCTGAGTGGGGATTCATATTGGACCTCCACATGATTAGCCTTACAACTATCCTTCCTTCCAGAATATTGCACTCTCAGCCAAGTGGATCACAAGCTTGTGGGGTCATTAAAATCCATGCTGCAGCTGCCTCTTACCACTCAAGTCATTTGGCAAGCAGCCCACCTCACCTTGGCTGTTCCCTGGCATGAGAGCCCCCTGTCCATGACCAGACCTCATCTAATGCGGAGCCAAGCAGACAAGTGTCTGCTCACCTCTGGCCCATGGCCAAATGCCACTATTGACCTTCAGCCATGATGTGTTTGCAAGGGCAGAATATTAGATGGAAACCATATTTACACTCCCAAGAAAGGTTAAAAAAACACTCATACATGTTTCATATACATATTTATATATATTTCATGTACAAAGTTACATTCCGAACCCCAGGGATTCCATAATAGAAATAAATACTGAAGTAACTACATTGCTAACTGAGCTTTTTGCTCACAGAAATGAAGCCTCAGCCTCTAAGAGACAGCAGGTGGGGCACTCAAGAACCCATTTTTTTTTTAGAGGCAAGTAAAGTTCTGGATATCTAGGATTTTTTTTAAAAAACAACTTTAAAACATAAATGGTTAAAACATATTCAAATATTGAGAATGTAGGACAAAATTAATAAAACAAATTTTAAGAGAAAGAGAAAAAACATTTAGTGTTACAGAACAGCATAACCCTGTTAGAAAAGCATTTATGATTTCCGTGTGTAATTTTATCTCCTCTTTCCAGGTTATAAAGTGGGATCAAACCAGTCTTTTTTTCAACATGATCAATTATGAAGAACCCTGGACCTGGCTGAGTCCTTTGGTAATGGTTTTAATACTCATAGGAAATAAATACTCAGGTCCACGAGATGGGCAAGATACACATTCTTCAGGAAAGTTAACATTATGAGACAATTTGTTTTATTATTAAGGCTGCCTATGTCATAAAGTATCTTCCTAAATTTAGGAAGGCTTTTACTAGAAAGGATCAATACTGCAACTTTGAGAAGGAATGCATTTTAACCCTTTCTTATGCAAACACACATCATCTGAAGTCCTGTGCTGCATATTTTGTGCTAAAATGTCTTACAGACTCTCAACAAGCTGCAGCTCTTTTTGTGTATCTGTGTGTGCCAGTCTTGTGGCTTCAACTTAGGGCCTGGGCACTGTTTCTGGGCTTTTTTGCTCAAGGCAAGCACTCTACCAGTTGAGCCACAGCTCCACTTCTGGCATTTTTTGGTGCTTAATTGGAGATCAGAGTCTCACAGACTTTCCTGTCCAGGCTAGCTCTGAACCATGATCCTCAGATCTCAGCCTTCTGAGTAGCTAGGATTACAGGCATGAGCCACCAACATTCAGCAACAAGCTGTAACTTTTAAGAAATCTTTTCCTATTTTAACAATATAGATCCACCCAAGTTACAGAAAAGCACTCTTACAACTCAATTCCTAGAAAATACTCTTCTTCTGCCTCTGCCTTCTGGAGACTTTATAGTAAGTATGAGGTTGCCATTTGTGCAGATCAGCAATGGGCAAACACTGATAATTTTATATGGTTTGACTTCATATATAATCCAAATGTAACAAAATGAAAATTCTCAGTATTCCTGATGTCTTCATGTAGAAAATGAAATTTTATGTGGACAATGAAATACTCAGACCTCCTTTCTGCCCTATGTAGTAGCTAAGGCAGTTTATATGCCCTTTGCAGCTTGCAAGAAGCTTACATTCTGGCATTTCTACCAAAGGTTACCACCTTGACCAAGACAACATTACAAAAGTATAAACCTGTTACTGGGGAAAGGGGAAGGGAAGTAATGGGTAGAAAATGTTAAAATGAAATTATAAACATAAGCAACAAATTGTAGAAAAAATTATACAGGCTTTCTTGTCTTTTCTAGTCCCTTAAGTTAATTAACAGGGCCATAGATAATCTGACAACCTTGAATAAAATAACTATAAACTTATGTCCCTGTAAGTTTAAGAAGAATAATTACAACTATTGCAAGTTTTCTCATTCCATCTTTAGCTCCTGATTTCCTAAATTACATCAGGTCATACAAATGTGTGGAAGGCTTCTGGACAGGAGTAGTGTGACTCTAGGACACTTCCTTCTTGGGACAAACATTCCCAAATCCTTTGGTGTCCTTATTAATTTATACAGCATTTCCAATAAATGTCATAATGCTTTTTTTTTGGTATTGCCAAAAAAATGGCTCTGGTTTAAAATGAAGACAGAACAAGCTATGGCAAAGCGGCCAACATTTTGTGCCTTGAACAAAAGTGACTACACAGCTCAAGCACAAAATTATCCAGTAAATATAGCTCTACCAAAGCAGGTTTTTTTTCCCTTCTAAAACATACAGTGACCACAATCTTATTGTGTATACAATGTGCTTATACAACATGCGGCCAAATGGATCCTATAGTCTCCTTGGGCTCATTAAGCCCCATGTACTTTATAATCTAATCTAATTAGATAAATGCATGAGTCACTGACATTCTTTTTACAGGCATCTTTGCATAATAGTTCAGAAAAAAAAATCCCTGGTACTTAAGAATGCTAGACAATTAAGAGACCTATGTTTGCTTTCTTTTCTTTGAAGCAGACCTTCCAATGATATGATTGGGAATATGTTTCTATAAGTTAATAAACTTAAAATAGTAGAAAAACTTATGTTTAGCTTTGCAAAGAGTAATGAATAAGAAATGATAAATCAAACATTTTCAGGAAGCTTGAAGGGGAAAAAACTACATTATGGTTTAAAAAATGATTAAACATCAGTTAAACCCAGACTCTAATGTACTTTTTAAAATGGACGTTGTGAGTGAAAAGATATAATGTCCACCCTGACTTTTTCTGTGACATCTTGGCTTTGTTTCCCTCCTGACATACTTTTTCTCTTTGAAGGTGGCTCTTGAGCTTAAGAGAGTGCAAAAGCTTCAATGTGTTATTTACATCCAAAATACCAAGTACAATTTGATATTTTCAGATAGAACAAAAGAAAATAAATTTCCAATTCAAATTCTGGATTCATCTGGTTGGGCTAGATTCTTATCACCACTCTGTTAATGGCAGTTTTACTTTCATTAACAGATAAAAGCAGCCCATGAACAGTCCACAGACATGGAAAAAAACAGAATGGAATACCACCATCCTTTGTTAAAAGGGACACAAACACAATTTCCTTTAAAAAAAAAAAAAACCTTCCCAGTACTTAAACTGTTCTCTGAGCTTCCAGGAATATCTTTTTAAGTTTTCTAAACAATAAACCTCTTCTTAAATGTATCAGTATGAAAATGGATGAAACAAATCTCAAAAACAAATCCGGATATTCAGAGAAGCAGGCCTCATATACTTTAGGGAGCTCTAATAAGAGAAAAACAGGAAACTTTTATTTAAATAGTGTAGTCTTAATTCCTTTAATATAAAACCCCCCAAAACCTGATGAAAACAAAGTTTTATATACCATATAAACAAGATTTGTCAATTTTGAAAGTGAAAGTTAAGTAATTTACAATTAGCTTTTAGCCCTCTTGGGACATTTAGATAAATCCTGATAATCAATCTGGTGTTAGTGTGTGTCAATTTTATAATACATTGGGGAAAACTCTACTATTGTATGTCATGGTACAACTTCATTTTAAAGTTTTTCCATTAGTTCCATTATTAGTGACAGCTAAAAAGTGACTCCATCAAATGAAGTAAGTGACATTAGACTGCGGCAGAGTAAACCACATCTGGATTGCTTTCTGTAATTCACCAGTTTGCAGAAAGTAAACATTCTTTGATTTGTTCACAACATACTGAAATTGCCTATAACACTGGTGCAGTAAAATAGCTAGTTCCTCTGTATTGTTATGGTAAAAACAGATATTGTAATATAAAGTTAACAGGAAAAAATGCTCACACATTATGTGGTGAAACTTATTTCACAAAAAGAGCATTAAATTAAGAGGAAAAGGGAAAATAAGCCATGCAGAAGAGATGCTTCCCCGTCTCTGCCTGTTTCCTAGGGGCTCACTCAGTGCCGCACATCACTTGCCACACTATCAGGTGACTCCTTTCAGCTTTGGAGACTGAAGGTTCCAGTGGAAGATCCTCTCCAAGGAGTTCTGATTCTCCACCTTCATCACCTAGTAGATAAGAAGGAGACTGGGTTAGGTTGAGCCACAGAGAATGAGATAAATCAGACAGTGCTCATTGCCAGCCATGACTAAGAGGCACAAAGCTTATATGATTTTCATTGCAGAGAACACAGTGGAAGCAATACCAGGATGCAGATCTTCACCCATATACACTCAAGCCACTATCTGACTTCTGAGAAGTTCATTTCTCACTACACTGATAAAGGCTACCTTACTGTACCACGCTGGGAAGTCATCACAATATGTCTTCATACTGATGGCAACAGAAATTGAAAGCTAAGAAGGCAAAGGTATTCAATTCTGTGTTCCTTCAAAATGGACAGTTTATTTCAAAGTAAGATTGAGCTGGGCACCAGTGACTCAGGACTGTAATCCTAGCTACTCAGGAGGCTGAGACCTGAGGATTATGTTTTTTTTTGTTTTTTGTTTTGGTCCGGTCGTGGGGCCTGAACTCTAGGTCTGGACGCTGTCCCTCAGCTTTCAGCTCAAGGCTAGTGCTCTACCACTTAAGCCACAGCACCACTTCCGGTTTTTTTCTTTTTTGCTTATGTACTGCTGAGGAATCGAACCCAGGACCTCATACATGCAAGGCAAGCGCTCTACCACTGAGCCACCTTCCCAGCCCAGACCTGAGGATTATGGTTCAAATACAACCTGTGAAATTCTTATCTCTAATAAACTACCCTACGCGCCCCCACCCCCCCAAGCTGGAAATGGAGCTCTGGATCAAGTGGTAGAATGCTACCCTTGAGTAAAATAAGTTCAGGGACAATGCCCAGGGTCTGAGTTCAAGCCCCAAGGTTGGCACAACAACTGTTACAAAACAAAAAGACTGAGATTGAATATGCAGACATTAAAAGGTAGCATAGCAAATAACTAAAATCAAATAACTCATGCTTATTAACATAATGACAGTTCTCAAAGGTAACTCATCTAAGCATAAGAAATTCAGATTGTAATTGGGCACTGGTGGCTCACGCCTGTAATCCTAGCTACTCAGGAGGCTGAGATCTGAGGATCGTGGTTCAAAGCCAGCCTGGGCAGGAAAATCTGTGAAACTCTTATCTCAATAAACCTCTAGAAAACCGGAAGTGGCGCTGTAGCTCAAGTGGTAGAGCGCTCGCCTTGAGCTGAAGAGCTGAAGGATAGCGCTCAGGCCCAGAGTTCAAGCCCCACACCAAAAAATAAAAAAAATAAAAAAAAATTCAAATTGTGACCCTGTAAGATGGCATATCCATCACCTGCTATCCTAGCTTTTTCTCCTCTTCCCCCCACCCCCCCAGCAACCCTCACTTCCTGCCACACACATCTTCATGATGAAGATGGAAAAATGAAGAGGCTTCAGGACCTTCTGCAGGGCACAAGTCCTGATCACAGACCCCACTCTCCAAGGCCCAGCACAGGCATAAGGACCCTCCTGCCCACGAGCACATATCACTTACTTCTGCTGTGCACAACAGGGCTATTGTGGAACAGCCTATAAAAACTTATCTAGTGGGAAGAATTCTTCAGCAGAATCTTAAAAATGTATACCCGAGGAAACAAAGGTAGTCCATTGATCTACTGGAATTATGTGATGTACCCCCACCTGACTTCTACTGGACAAAAAGATAAATAAAAAAATAGTATACACACATAGATTGGCTGAGTAACTGTAGTAGATAAAAACCCTGGATATATGCATGTTTCTCTAGTAGCTCCACTCCTCCCCCTCAGGCTTCTCACAGCAATGTCAAAATATAGAAAGCAACATGTTCAGGGCAAAATTCACTTTCTCAACTTAAATATAAACATGTGCTTACAATGTAACTATACCTATAGCCAGCTACTCAGGAGATCTGCGATCTGAGGATTGAGCTTTGGAGCTAGCCCAGGCAGATAAATCCTTGAGACTCTTATCTCTAATCAGGAAAGAAAAAAAAGCCAGAAGGAGGTGAGGCTCAACCAAGCAAAACCACATGACTCCAAGTGCAAGCCCTTGCACCAGTACACATGAGTGTGCGCACACACACAAATGAAAATATAAAATTGAATAAATAAAACAAGTATCTGTCACTGTACAGTATTACATTCTTTTTTTTTTTTTTTTGTCGGTCGTGGGGCTTGAACTCTGGGCCTGGGCGCTGTCCCTCAGCTCTTCAGCTCAAGGCGAGCGCTCTACCATTTGAGCTACAGTGCCACTTCCGGTTTTCTAGTGGTTTATTGGAGATAGGAGTCTCACGGTCTTTCCTGCCCGGGCTGGTTTTGAACCGCGATCCTCAGATCTCAGCCTCCTGAGTAGCTAGAATTACAGGCGTGAGCCACCAGCGCCCGGCTCAGTATTACATTCTTTACAACCATTTAGTACCTTTTTAAATCAATGAGCTCTGTATCTGCACAGTGATTTACAGCTCACACACACTGTTCTTCCCTACTCCACTTCCAGACTTGCCGCTTCTGTGTGTATATAGACACACACATACATTTATATAGATACACACATGTAACAAACAGGAAGAAGAAAAAAAATTTTTTCCCAGAAATTTTAAGGAAAGTACGTAGGCATCATCATCTGAGTTTCTCATTCATTGTGGGTGAAGATCCACCTCCTCAATCACAGTGGAAGCTGAGCTCCCAGAAGCAACGACTCACCCATCCGGAAGTCGATGTAGCCCTCTCCTCCACTGATGACAAGCATAGACTTCACAGGTGTCTGGCTGCCGGACTCCTGAGAGGATGACACTGCTTTGTCACCTGTTAGCTCTGTGCCAGGACTGCCACTCTGTGGGCTAATGACTTGACCTAGTATACACAGAAGCAGAAGTATTATTTGTCACTGATGAAGACAGGGAATACTGAAAATATTCTGAGTTAAATAAAAAGGTAAATATATCAAAAGCACAGCCAAAGCATCAGGAATGCTTGACAACTCTCTGTATTATTAGAAAGTAATTCCATAAGGTTATAAGGGCCCAATTTGAATTTGTTTTTCTGGCAGTACTGGACTTTGAATTCAGGGCTTCATGCTTGCTAGGCTGGCCTACCACCTCTTGAACCACACTTCTTGTCCAGTGTTTCGGCTAGTTAATTGGAGACAGAATGTCATGAACTTTTCTGTCCAAGCTGGCTTCAAACCATAATACTTAGATCTCTGCCTCCTGAGTAACAGGTGTGAGACACAAGCACCTGGTCTATTTACTTAAAAAAAAAAAGTTATATTTGACGTTGGTATAATTTGTGGAGGGGAAGGGCAAAAACAAATCGTTTAACTAGGGATACAGGTGGACCCATTGCAACAATGAGATGTACAAGTCGTTATGTTGAAAAATGAACTTTACAACTTTGGTGAGAGGGGGATCGGGTGGGGGGAGGATGGGAAGGGATGGGAAGGGGAAACAAAGAGAAGGCAACAATGCTTGATAAGAAATGTACTCATTATCTTGCCCATATAATTGTAACCCCTCTGTACAGTATTCTCACAATAAAAAAAATCAAAAAAAGTTATTATTAAGGTGATACAGAGGGCTGCCATTTCCTATGTTAGGTGATGAATGCATTTTTTCCTGAGCAATGTCATGGCTTCCATCACTCTCTCCCAGTTTATTAATTTGCTACATAGGTCAGGCTGGCCTCAAACTTTCATAATCCTTCTTGTACCCCTCAAGTAATGAGAGTACATGTGTGTATCATCATACCCAAAAAATTTTAATTCTGGAAGGAAAAAGAAAATCATTTTTCATAAGAAAAAATACCTTATAGCACTTCAATCATACTTTCAATACAGAGCTTCTTTTGTATAGTATATTGAGATCACCTGTGATACTAGCACTTAGCAGTAAAGCAATGGAAGACAGAAGAGAGATGGATTACATGGACTACCACAACAAAGCAATCTAACTCACCTGGGACTGCCACAAAGAATTTCACAGCATCCCGGTGCCCGTGGAAACAAAGCTGTGCATGTGCCATTGAACAATAGGGAATAAATGTCCCTGGTGTCACTTTGTCACTGTTTTCGTCACCATAGACACGAATTACACTTCCAGGACGATTACCTGGTGCTCCTGAGGTTTTATTTGCTGCAATAGAAAAATTAAATACCAAGTATTTTCCTCCAGAAAATAGTAATGATGTAAGAGGTTATTGGTTAATCCTTAGGACATCATCTAAAAGCTACAGCCAGTTGACATAACACAAGGGCAGCAACGCCAATTCAAGGCAAAGCTGGAAAAAAGACAGCATGCTAGTTATTTTTAAGTACTTCAGTAAATGGAGTAGGGGATTTTGCCAGTCTAGCAATAACTAAGCTTATGTTTTAAACACATCTATTAGTTTTTTAGAACAAAAGAAAACATTTGAATGTTAGGTTTGTCTGTTTGGGTAGTTTTTTTGTTTTTCAGTCCTCATTTAACGAATCTAGCTATTATATAGTCTAAAGCACTTGAGTATATTTTTCTCTTTTGTGATAAGATGAAGTCCCTTGAAGGGGCAGGGAAAGCCAACACCACAGAGTAGCTCTCATTTACTCCAGGCCAATGGTTTGCTGGATTACTGCGGAGTGACCAGACTTACAAAACATCCCCCATCCACAGGTAAGTGAGTGAAAGAGACATGATTGGTAACAAGAGTAAATAATGTAGATTAATGGCAGTTTTAAAAGATGTCTCATGTTTTTACTGGAGAGAAAACAAGTCTGAAAGAAAGTTCAGCTGCAACGAAAGATGATAAATAGACTAAGCTGCTGAGCATTTGGTGGCCGTATAAGAAATGTTAAAAGAAAAAAAAATCTGCTGCAATGCTGACTGCGAGTGGGTGACACTGAAGAACATTCAAGAGGGGGTTCTAGAGAAGAGGGGACGGCCTCACAGTGTCTGCGAGAAGCCAGGGAGGACAGACTTGGTTCAGGATCTGCACTTACCCCTCAGCCCCAGTAAACGTCCCTGGTGGAGGATTACGGCTACAGTGAGAAAGGAGGAAAGGGGACACGGAGAGGGGCATGACAGGGAGGAGAAGCATTACTGTGAGCCACCACTCTCAGCCTCTATTTGGCCCCTAATGAAATTAACAGGGTCCAACTTGGCATAATACCAAGCGCTAAGTTCTTACCAAGACCTCTAGAAAGTAACTCTGCTCAAAAGGGCAATTTGAGGTGGAGGAGTGGCTCAAGTGGTAGTTCAAACCCCCAGTGCCAAAAAACAAACAAAAAAAATCAATGTTTTACTATGATTTTGTTTCCTCCCTAATTTTAAAGCCGTTTTAGTAAAAAGTGAATCAAACCCCTGACAACTTGATGTGGTACATTTCTTGATTGCTAAGCTTTCTCTTTATAGTATTTTTTCTTTGTGTGTATGTGTGTAGAAAGACTCTAAGGTGAACATTATCTTTCTTTTCTTTTTTTGGTGTGAGTCTGGGGCTTCAACTCAAGGCCTGGGTACTGTCCCTGAGCTTCTTTTGCTCAAGGCTGGCACTCTACCACTTGAGCCACAGCTCCACTTATGGCTTTTCTGGTAGTTAATTGGAAATAAGAGTTTTTTTCCTGCCTGGGCTGGCTTTGAACCATGATCTTCTGATATCAGTCTCCTGAGTAGCTAGGACTGCTGATGTTAGCTAACAGTACCTGGCTTGAGTATTATCTTTTTATTACGGGATTTTTTTTTTCTATGTTAGTCCCTGTCCCTGCATTTTTAGTTTTTTTATTTTTTTTGGGGGGGGGTTTGGTCATGGGGCCTGAACTCTGGGCCTGGGTGCTGTCCCTCAGCTCTTCAGCTCAAGGCTAGCGCTCTACCACTTGAGCCACAGTGCCACTTCTGGCTTTTTTTTCTTTTTGCTTATGTGGTGCTGAGGAATTGAACCCAGGGCCTCATGCATGCAAGGCAAGCGCTCTACCACTGAGCCACCTTCCCAGCCCCTGTCCCTGCATTTTTAAAATTTATTTTTTAAGCAAAGGGGTTTCAATTCAACAAATCAGATTATGAGTACAGTGCATCTTGAACAATGTCAGCCCATGCATTTTACAAAACAAAAACACTTCATGGATGATCAATGTAATGGAATATAGCATGAGAAAGGTACATTTTGTTCACAAAAATAATAAACCATATTCTTTTCACACAGAGAATAGATTACTATCTTTAGTACAAGGAAGTCTTGCTTAGCTTCTGAAAAATCTCTCCTACAACTTACTTTTAAACCTCAAATGTGGCAAGTGGAAAACCTAAAGCCAGTTTTTAAGGAGATATAAAAATTATGATGACTAACAGGATAACTGGTAGTGTTTCTAGATACTGGTATTAATAATAGAGCTGAAAAAAAAATAAGACTTCGCCCTTTTTATGAAAGATGAAATGGGGTTGTGATTCCTGAATTGAGCAAAAGAACTCTTCCTATGAAGAACACTGAATTATAAATGGTGGTTCTGACGTTCTTAAATTTCATAGGAAGAGTCAAAGACTAATATGAATTTCTGAGTTACTACAGATTTGCCAGTATCTAAACAATTCCTTCCTCCTGAATTCTAGATACAATTACTTCCTGACATTTTATTTGTCCCAGGACAGTTATTTAGAAGCACACTTACTTTCTGTCAACGGGATGGAGATAATGACACCATTTCCCGTCCCTACCCATAAACGATTGCAAGACACCATAAGAGCTGTGATCCTTACAAAAGAGAAGCCCAGTTTTCCAGTACCTGTAAAGGAGGGAAGAATGAGAACATTTTATTGAAAAGTCAGAAGCAGTGTTTTAGATTCAAAATCCATTAGAGTAGCAGCTTTAATACAACAGAGAAAAAATATCTGCTGAAGGAAGGTAACCTCAAAGTGAACTCTTACTTGGCTTTATCACCTATTGGCTAAGTCAGGGTTAAAGGTAAAAGAAAATTTAAAATGTGGATGGCATTACATTATGAGTCAGAGGGAGGTACTGCAACTCCAAACCAAAACACAAACTTCTAATTTACTAGACTGGGAAAACAAATGTTTTTATTAGCTGATGAAGCTCTGGCTTTCTTTGCATGAAAAAAAATCTTTTCTAACAAAACCTACACATTTTACTTGTTTATACACGTAGGCTCTAAACAATTTAGAAATATTAGAATATTAGAGCCTCCTAATAATTTAGCAAGAACAAACATATTTGTATTTTAAAAGAATTTTCATAATTGACAATATTTTTCAGGGATTTGAAAGACATTCTGACAAAACAGATAATACATTTAAGACAACAATATCAGTCCTTCATTAGTTCTACTTGTAAGAATTGAGGGTCTGCCAGGCGCTGGTGGCTCATGCCTGTAATCCTACCCAGGAGGCTGAGATCTGAGTTCAAAGCCAGCTCAGGCAGGAAAGTTTGTGAGAGACTCTTATCTTCAATTAACCACCTTCCAGAAGTGGTGCTGTGGCTCAAGAGGTAGGGTGCTCACCTTGAGCTGAAGAGCTCAGGGACAGCACCCAAGCTCAGAGTTCAAGCCAAGAATTGAGGGCCTGACCACAGAGCCAGTGTTGGAAGGAGACTTCACTTCCACCATTATATGAAGAGCATGAGCAGCTATGGTCAGTCTCTAAGAGCAATTACTCTGTAAAGGTTAAAACACTGATCTGGGGCTAGGAAGGTGGCTCAGTGGTAGAGCGCTTGCCTTGCATGCCTGAGGCCCTGGGTTCGATTCCTCAGCACCACATAAGCAAAAAGAAAAAAGCCAGAAGTGGCGCTGTGGCTCAAGTGGTAGAGTGCTAGCCTTGAGCTGAAGAGCTGAGGGACAGCATCTAGGCCCAGAGTTCAGGCCCACGACTGGACCAAAAAAAAAACAAAAACAAAAAAAAACACTGATCTGGGGGGAGGGGGGAGGCTGGGAAGGGATGTGAAGGGTAAACCAAAGGAGGAGGCTGCAATACTTGGTAAGAAATGTACACATTATCCTGTAATTGTAACCCCTCTGTACAGTATGTTCACAAATAAAATAAAATAAAAAAAAGATATTAAAAAAAAAAACACTGATCTGCCTCAACCTTTTGTTATAAAAGGAATCCTCTATGACATCCCTAATAGTTACATAGCACACGAGTGGGTGCTAAAAATACAGTGGAGAACAAGACAAGAGACATCCCTGCCCTTCAGGGGCTTCATGGTATGAACAAGAATCACATAATAATAATAATAATCATATTAATAAACACATGAAGGAAAAGTATGAGAAGACTGAAACAAAAGTCTCTTCTGGATATGTTTTATGGGCTATGATCTGAAAGCTAAGAAGAAAAGATGAGAAAGAATTTGTTAGGCAGAGGATATAGCACATAAGAAAGTCTGGAAAGGGGTGAGTCAATGTGGGCAGAAGAAAGTAAGCAATAAGAGTAGTTTGCATGACCTCATTAAGGCAAGTGAATTTTTGCACACTTGTTACTATGCAGAGAACAGACTAGAGTGAAGACAGGGAACCCAGTTAAGCGGCACAAGTTTATCTAGCAGGGAAAGGACAGTCACCCTTTCTAGGGGGAGAGTAGCCAACAAAAAGTAGTAATTGAGCCGGGCGCTGGTGGCTCACACCTGTAATCCTAGCTACTCAGGAGGCTAAGATCTGAGGATCGTGGTTCAAAGCCAGCCCAGGCAGGAGAGACCGTGAGACTCCTATCTCCAATAAAAAAACCACCAGAAAACCGGAAGTGGCGCTGTAGCTCAAGTGGTAGAGCGCTGGCCTTGAGC